AATCACTTTGTGCAACTTTCATTTCATGTGAGAAGTGCCCATTTCATGCGCACCTATGTGAACTACATGACATTTTCCTTTTCTACTGTGTGTGATACACATTAAAAATATAAACATGGATGAGTATCAACAATGGTACACTCAATGATAAGGAAGAGGACACAGTGAGGGGACTTCAAAACTGGAGCAGACAAAATCTGTGGCAGATTTGCACTGCAACCAATCAGCTTCTCTGTCTCATTTTCAAATCTTACCTGAGCAAACTGAAGGAAGAGGCTGATTGGTTGCCATGGGCAACTGCTACAGATTTGATAAATTCCCCCCAATGTGTGTTTTACACATGTATTTGTGGGTGTATGCCTCGGTTTTGTTTCTGCATAACATAAATAAAACATTCATATATAATGTTTATTAGTAGACTTATCACATTCTCTCATGACATTTGATACTGTTAGCCTAGGACTGCAGGCAGGCCGCATCTGGCAATAAACTGGAATATGAAACCAGTTATCATTTAAGGGTTACCGGTTTCAGCTACTGCAATGCAGCATGGGATTTCCCTTTTAGATTATCACAGGCATGCAAATTTGTCACCACAGAAGGAGCGCAGGATGCATCATTGCTAAACAGGCAAAAACCTAATATGCAGCATTCTAGCCCCAGTTTGTATAATAAATGTAGTAGAAAATCCTTTCCCAGAACGCATACAAATCCCGGGAAACACACTGACATCAACAAGATGCAAATAACCTCAGTTGTAAAAATTACAAATCAAACTGTCAAAAAAAAAGCCTTTTTGTAACCTCAACAAGAGTCAAACAAATGGGTTCCTTTGTGAACAAGTGTTTTCCTGGAGTACATAGCTAACCATATGACAACACACTTTCCTAACACAAGTATGTGGCTCAGTGTCATGGCTTATAAAAGGAAACGTTTTAAAGAGTCAGTCACCCAAAAATGTTTGACTTCTTATAACCCTTAAAAACATTATTAGTAAGGACTTCTCATTAATGTCCCAGAACTGTTCCTGCCCATTTGTGAGTCTCAATCCTGAAGTAACTGGGGGTTCCCATTCTTCCTAATGCAGAGTTTGTCATGAAGAATCAGCGTAAAAACTCCTTCATGAAGAAGAGTGCCCTTTGATCCTGTTGGGTAAGGTGTGAACCTGGAAGATAATATATTCCATTGGCATCTGCAGCCACCATTAGCTGAGTCGAGAGTATAGGTACCTGATGAGTCAAAGCCAGAAATGCCTGCAGCGCATCTCCCCTGCCTCTCTCTGTTGGCTTAACAAGGCACAATGCAACCGGTCATGGTGAGGGACCAGCCAGCAGACACATATACCAGAGGGTGGTCAGACTGCGACTAAGCATATGACAACCCTCCATCTATGATGATCTTTAGGCAATTTTAAGAGATTTCACACTTTCCAACAGGTTTCCAAGGTTGGGATGAGTCACACCAATAAAACCTATGCAGTGGCAGCGTCTTCCTACAGCAATTGGGGTCCTGAGCAGAGTGACTCCTGGCAATCAGTAACAGAGGCATTTGGACAGTTTTTAATTTTAATTCAAAGAAAGACTGCCATTGTGGACTTCATCGGAAATGCTAGTTGCCTGGCTGTCATGTTGATCATGTGAATCACTGACCTGGCACAAGGAAACAACTGAGGATGTGAGCTCACTGGTTGCATGCTTGTTCTGGATCAGTGATTCACAGTTTTACAGACAGAGAATCATTCTTTAAATCAGATAAATATGAAATATTACATAAGTGTATTTCATAATTACCCCTTTCAGACAACCAGGAGCAAGTGCCAGTCAGAGTGTCCAGTGTATCAAATAGCTGAACAGCAGGACATCAGGTCACACAGATGAATGACTCAGAAGAGGGACCCCTCTCTTCCTCCTCTCTAGAGACAGTGCCATCTAGAGCTTCAGGCTGGGTTCACACCTGAGCGTTTTTTTCGTGAAACGCGCGTTTCACTGGCGGTATGATTTTTTTTTTAGTTTCACTTTTAAACTTCCTGCCAGCTCCGCCCCCTGCGACGCGGCCGCTCACAAGGGATGGAAATCGGCAGCCGCCGAAGACACAGTGGGGATCGCGGACAGGTAAGACCTGTACGCTGTATTCCCGAGTGTGGCTCGGGGTTACCGCTTTGTTAACCCCGATCCACACTCGGGCATACCAATGGCAACGCGCGTTCCTACGCACTGTAAAACGCCCAGGTGGGAACCATGCCCATAGGCAATCATTGGTTTTCACATGTTGAGCGTTTTACAGCGTGTAGGAACGCGCTGTAAAACGCCCAGGTGTGAACCAGGCCTAAGTCTGCAGATGTCAATAAGTGCAGAGCTAATGTTGGGCTTTCTTATTAGACCGACCAGCAGGCACCATATACAATGAAACATGGAGGCACCTTGTATTATTATACAGGATTTATATAGCGCCAACAGTTTGTGCAGCGATGGTAAGGAGGGCCTTGTACTCCATGTTTCTTGTAAAATATGTATTTTTTTTGTTATTTAGAACAGTTTATTTAGTAAAAATGTCAGGAACATTTATTGTCCTTAGGAAAAAAATATTCTATGGTTTTAAACCTAAATCACTAGGTACCCGTCATAAAAAAATAAAACATACAGAGATGCATGCTAATGTCTCTGTATGATGCAAAAGTGTTACTTGTCCCTTCTCTTTCATAATAAATTGTCTCATGCTAAGTGCTATATTTGACACCAGGTACCAAAGTGAATTTTGTGTTGTCATCACAGATGTCACTAAATTACAACTGATATACAGTGACATCACAGTGACGTTTATTCAGGCCTCAGATAATGCCACTGGTCAGCTTTTTTAAGAGAGAAAGGCTACAAATCACTGATTCTGTAAAACCAACAAAGTAAAGCCATACTGTAAGAAATATGAAGGCTGCAATCATGGAGCTTCCTCTGAAAAAGCTAGTTAACTGGCTGTTTCAATACTAATACCAGTTACTAACCTGGGTCAGATCTGCAGCCAGTGCAGTCAGAAATCCTGATATGAATACCTGCCCCGGGTCAGTGACTTAGAAATTACCAAGGCTATTGGATTAGTATAGCAACCAAGCAACAATAATGTTTAAGAAGATGTCAGCAATGACAGCCTCTGCATTTCTGTCAGTGTAGGTTTCCTTTAACCCCTTAGTGACACAGCTTTAGACATTTTTTTCATTCCTGGGGACGGGAGCAATTTTGACATTTTGGCTATGTTTGTTTAACCATAATATCCATCTTCGTCATTCATAGCATATTATATACCGTTTATTAATTTGATGCGACATAGGCATATATGGGCTTTAATTTGATGTGACATATGGGCTTTAATTTGATGTGGCATATGCATATATGGGCTTTAAATTGATGCGACATAGGCATGTATCAATTCTTAGGTTTTTTTTTAATAAAAATTAAAAAAAAAAAAAAAAATGTCAGAGTTTTGGCAATAATATTGTATAAGTAAATCGTTAAAGAAGCTAAGAGAAAGTAATTCATAATAAATAATTTTATTTGTCCTGATTTATAGAGTATATCATATGTCTGGGATTTCAGATTATTTGGGGAGTAATAGGTAACATACAAAGAATGACACGCAATTTTAGTTTGGAATGTTAGAATGTGGAATGTTTGTCTCCTGTTTTTAAATAGCCTCCTTGGCACTATATTTTCTCATCTTTTATTAAACATATTTTTTTAAACTTTTTTTAAAAATGTTTAAAACTTTATTTTTTTTTAACTTAGGGACACTAAAGGGGTTGCTTTTTTATTTTATTTACAGGGGCTTTGATACTTAGAATCTCTGAGGAGAATACAGTATTACAGTTTTCTCCTCAGAGATACTTTGTATCAGTTTGCAACACACTAGTCGGCTCGCAGCTGCACAAAACACAGTAAACTGCAATTCGGCTTAGAGGCTGTCACAGCTCTGTGATCACAGCGATCAGCTATCGCTGTGACCAACTAATCTGCTGTTGATGGTCTGCTGCGGGTGAAGCAAACAGCAGTAACTCAATGAACGCTAGTCCCTCCATGGACCAGAGCTCATTGTACCGCATGACGGGATTATCCAATAACCGGTTGTTAATGAACTGAATGATCCCGACGGTACAATCATCGGTCGGGAAGGAGTTAACAGAAAAATAGGAACCCGAGTATGTACGGTTATCTCACCTTCTTATATTGCTTTTCAGAGCCATCAAAATTCTGGCTGTCAGTAGCCTTGAAAGCAGTGTCACCTCCAGGTGCTAATAAAGAAAAACATTAGAATAATTATAATGAAAAATACAGGAAGACAAAGGGCTTGTTCACATCAAATGCAGAGCAGATCCGGTCAGGTTTCTGCACACGCACGATGCGTTTGACGCGTTTTTGATGCATTTTTTTTTCCAGGAAGATAACAATGTTATGAGGTAATTTCCATTGTGTTGCTGAGGGAATACATATTGCTGAGGGAATACATATTGCATTTATCACAGACAGCCACACAAGCTGCATGAAAAGCAGCTGCAGGTGTCAGTGAGCAAACAGACAGTGTGATAAGGAGGAGTGGATGGAATACTGCATTTGAGGAACTACTAGTATACAATGCCATTCACATTGAAGTACTCACCCCAGCTCTACTTATCTGTCATCCTGGGAAAACTCTCCCTGCTATCAAACTCCACTGGTCAGCCTTCTTCCTATTGTTCTTATATTGAAAGTGTCTGCTATCATATAGCTCAGTGCACTGTTGAACCATACTTATGAATCTCTCCAGCTCACAATGTCACCTTTTCCAAAGACAGGAAGTGACCAAGGAAGATTAGGTCATGACAGATGACCATAGAGGGTTTTTTTTTCTTTATGGTAATTTTTTTCCATTGAATTGCATTGGGTTGCATTGCGTTGAGTTTTTGATGCGTTCCAGAGCAGGTAAAATAGGGCTTGCTGCAGTTTTTTCACCTGCTCTGGATCTGCACGCTGCGATGTGAACTGGAGATCAAAATACCATAGAAATACATTGGACACAGTTTTGATCCGGTCTGCACCTGCTCTGCTCTGGATCTGCTCCGCGCTTGGTGTGAACTAGCCCTAACGGTTAGAAAGACGTTCAACAATCTCTGTATTAATAAACATAAATACTATAAACAATAAATATTATCAAATGGGAATGATTGTTATACATAAAACAGGCTACAGAATCAGGCTTCCTTTCCAGGAAAAGCCAAGTAGTCTCTGCCTAAACAGGCAATAAAGTTAAACTCTATACCCATCCCCATAGCGGCCTAGAGTTGTGCACACAGGTAGTTAAATAGAACTTAATATATGTTTCACATGTCATAACGGCAGCAGATGTTGCATTACACACCTAACAAGAGTAGTAGATCAGAAGCTCCTATGACTTCACTAACCAAATTGTGACCTGTGAAAAATCAGCAAGAAAAATGGGAGAAGATATTACGAGCCAGAATAATTAAGATTATAAAGCCTGGAAAGGAATCCTGTCCCCTGCTCTGTTTTCACACTCGTAATCACATTAATTACATGGGTACATAATGAAATGATGCATGCAAACACAGGAAAACATAGGATTCTACAAAGCACCTTCTAAAACACCACTAAGCACCCTTTTTTAACACTTATAAGTGCCTGACACTACAGTCACCCATAGCTGACCAACTCTGGGCAACATGTAAAGTGTCCACTATTTGTTTGGTCAACACTGCCCTGTGTGCACCGCAAGCTGTATTTTAGGCACATTCAGAAACCATGAATACTGTCTGGTCATCCACTGCAGAGCAAAAAAGTCCTTACTGTGGAAATGGTTGCTTAAATAGCCCGCAGGGGTCAAACACTCAAACACTAAGTGTTCTTGGAGTTTGCATTAGAAGAAATGACCACAAAAAATGCCTAGGTTAAAGAACTGGATTGTCTTTAAAGCTAAACTCCATGCAGATATAAAAGACAAATCAATACAATTCTGTATTTAAAGGAGAACTATGAGGTGAGTGCTTTTTACTCACCTCATAGTTCTAGCCGACCTGTGACAATGAGACTGTCATAGGTCGGCTCAGTAGATCGGGAGGTGAGCGAACACATGCCGGTGTTCGCTCACTTCTGGATCCTGTCATGGCTCCCTGCCGTGACAGGGGGAGGGGATGGATTCCCCCCTCCCTGCTCCGATCTGCCAGCGCTGACTGGCAGAACGGACGGGGGAGGGGGCGGGTACAGCTGGCTCTGCCTCTAGATAGGCAGAGCCAGCTGTCACTCACTCAGCTGGGCAGACCCCTGATATTTCCCTTTTAAAATAGAAAAAGATTGAGGACACAGAGTCCTCAATCTCTTTTTCTGTATCCCCTGTTATAAATGAACAGGAATCCTCTGAGTGTTGCTGTTCATTGATAACTTGAGAACATGGTGTGTTTACTATAACTACAACTATGAATGAACAGGAGGTGATGTAGATCACTTCCCATTCATTCATAATTGAGGATATAGTAACCATACCCTGTCCTCAATTATCTACAAACACTCAGCGATCACTAATCACTTAGTGTTTGCTCTCACTCTCCTCTCTGACACACGCTGTCACAGGAGGCTGATCGAGCAGTGCAGGGAGGAGAGCCCAGCCTCCTGTGACAGTGCTGGCTGTCTCCGCCCCCACACCACCCTGCCGGACTGTGATAGGAGGCTGAGCGGTGTGGGAGGAGACTCAGCTGCTCACAGCGTTCTCCTCCCGCAGCGCTCGGCCAGCTGTCACTTTCTCTCCTCCCCGCTGGGACAAAGAGCAGGGCCCAGCGGGGAGGAAAGAAACCTGGGATGTGCCGATGTATCGGCAGGAAAATGACACAGGAAAATGTGCCATTTTCGGCCGATATGTTTCGGCAGCCGATATATCAGTGCATCCCTAATATATATATATTAAAAACTTTAACATTTTAAAACTCTCATGAAAGAAAACATTTGAGATGAAAATGATTCTACATTTCAATGCCATAAAGGAGGGACTTAATGTGGATTCTGGCACACTACCAGAACTTTTTATGAATCTACAGAACATCACAATATTCATGTATGTCGTATATCTCTGATCTGTTTAGGGTTTATTTGTTATCCTATGTTTATTTGTTCTGTCTTTTGATTATCGGGAGGCATTCTTTACTCCCAGGTCCAACATTTATGACACCCCTCCTCTAACAGCAACAAACTTGTCATGTTGATTAGTATTGCTTCTGACCTGAAGAAGAGAGGTTCGCTCTCGAAAGCTTGTCTTTTATATATTTTGTTAGTCCGATAAGAAAGGGTTGTTTACCACGACAGTAGAAGTGATTTTTTTCTGTAGATATGGGTAAACAACCCGATTTAACAGCCTTTGAACGTGGGATAATTGTTGGCGCTCGGAGTCATGGAGCGAGTTTCAGCAAAACAGCAGAATTCGTTAAATGTTCAAGAGCAGCTGTTGTTAAAGTGTTTAAAGACTGGACTGTCAGCCGAAAATCTGGGTCTGAACGTGCGAATTGTGGCCGTCAGCGACTAGTCCAATGTTAGGGCAGAACGGAGAGTGGCAAGACTGGTACAAGACAACAGAAGGGCAACAGTGCAGTGTCGGATTCCTCGCATCACCTTTCAACATCTCGTGGAGTCATCTTGTGGCCCAACGAAGTACTGATGGGGTGGACATAATAATCTGGCCACTCAGTGTACATACATATAATATATATATATACACACACATACATACATACATACATACATACATACACACAGAGTAAAATAAAATCCATATTCCAATAATACAATATATTTATTTATATAGACATCAGATTTGTGAATTGATATTCAAGTATCTGTCAGTGTAAAGGTCACAATTTATTAGACAGCCCAAGACCTTTTTAAAAAACCGCTGAGGAGTAAAGGCCCTGATACACAGTTGACTAGTTGCTATGGACAGCAAATTAAATAAATGTTCTCTATAACTAGACAACAAGGATATATAATTAATTCTATATTATCCACAAAGGGTTAACAGCACTCTCTCAACCCTGCAGCAGTGCCTGTACCTGCTCTCAATAGTAGTCTATGTCCGCCCTCTCTGTGCAGCAAGTAACTTCTTCCTTCTGAGAGCCAAGCCTCATTCTGAGGCTACTCTAG